AAGTAGATATATGCAGATTCAACCCAAGCATGTCCTATTAACAACCTAATGTGATGTTCACCTTTAACGAGATGCTGCTAATTTGTTACTCTTGAAAAAAAGGTGAAGTTGTGATGCGGAACGGAAGTGATGATAAATAGTGTTCAGATGAACAGTCCCACAAACAATAACTTCTCGTTTTTTACTTTTTTTGTCAATAAAAAAGCCAAATAAAGAAAGATAAAAGATGAATATGCTAGACCGGATTCACTCACAGCATCTAACCTTTAAAAACAATTGAAGATGTCGGTTTCAGACACGGACGCTTTATCAAAAAATATGGCTTCACGCCTATGGAATCACTCCAAACATCTCTCAGAATTTATATTTTATTCATTTCTCCCAAAATGAAACATTACAATCCTTTTTATAACCATAAAATAAAATCATAATCCTAACTAATTGATAACATCAAATCTAACAAAATAACAAAATCAACAAGTAAAATCATAATCCTAACTAATTGATAACATCAAATCTAACAAAATAACAAAATCAACAAGATAACAAATCTAACTAAATATCCTAACTAATTGATAACATCAAATCTAACAAAATAACAAAATCAACAAGATAACAAATCTAACTAAATAGTAGATCCAATCCTAAACAAATATCTCAAAATCATATTCTTAAAAAAAATCCTAACTAATACAATCTTCTAGATGTCCTATGATACGAGTCGCCGAGCGAGCACATTTGATCGCGGAATTAGCAAATGTGGGTTTTGAGAAGAAGACAGTAAAACACACAAGATAATTTAATTGGCGAAAGAAAATACCTTCTCTATATTATAAAGAATAGAATATTACAAAATCTATTTCTCACAATCTCTCTAGAATAAAGAACAATCCCTCTATTCTCTCTAATACCTAATCTCTTGATTAGAATCTCTCTTCTATCAATCTGATGTTTAGAAACCCTAAACAATCCTTATTTATCTGTCTAACAACATGGATGACAATCTCGTAAATAACTAAGTCAAAACTCAATCAGGATTCATCTCAAAACATAGTCCAACTCGGCCCAGAAAACTGATCCGATCGATTGATGTACCAATTCCGGTCGATTGGTCTCCCACTATCGGTCGACCGACTAGAGAACACGTTTCTCGTCCTGTAGTGTGCACTACTCCGGTCGATCGGTGTTGAGTGTCCGGTCGACTGGCCAAAGACTTGTCGCCAGATTCCTGATTTCGCTGTTTTCCTGCTTTTGACCGTTTTCGCCGCTATCGACGACTCTGCTCACGCTTCTATTCTCAAACACCATAAGAATCATCTAGTCTCTAGCTCCCATGAGGATCGTTAAATTCCCGAATAAGAGAAGAAGATAAACCCGTATCATGGCTCCCCCTTTTAGGAATTTAAGTCTCGTTCAAGTTAGAACTTCAGTTGAGGGAACTCGCGAGCCCCTCTTTTCCTATTGAACCACCTAGCCTTGTTAGGAACCTGACCTTGACGTCCGATCAGAAACGACTCATTCGTCTCGCATCTTGTCGTAGTCATCTTTCGCTCCAAATTACAACCCTCTTTCAGTGGCTCTTCATAAGGCCTAATGAACAGCGAGACAAACTTCTTACTTGTATTCATTAGCCTCTTCGTTTGGTTCACCGTCACTAAGTTTGTCTCCTTCGAAAAAGATACCGAACGAAATATGAACTTCTCATCGTCTTTGATGAATGTGTACTTCTGAGCCCGTCTTTCATAGATTACGTATCTATCCCACAAATACGGATTGCCCAGTATAATCTGACAAACATCAAATGAAACTACGTCGCACGTGATCTCGTTAATATACGACCCGTGGAGTACAAATCTGATAGTGAATTAACTACACTCAGCCCCACCTCCTTCTGAATCTCCCTAAAGGATAGGACTTCAGATGCTTGATTGTTTTCAGACCCAGTTTCTGAACCAATGCTTCGGATATCAAATTCTTCTCGCTATCTAGATCAACTATGACATCTACCAAACTGGTCTTCACTTGCAACTTAAGAATAAAGAGCTGCTCTCTAGGATCTTCGTCCTCCTTCGCGGCCTGCTTTCTTGTCATAAGTTTGAGACTGTTGTTGGGTTCTGTCACCCCTGAGACTTTTTTCGGACCTTGTGTTATCACGTATGTCTTTTCTCTTCCTTCTTCTTCAACCCCTTCGGATTCAGATAAGGATACTTCTCCCAACACCAATCAGTAATATTGTCTTCTCGTAATGACTACAAATCAGTCCTGCTTTTCCTGGATCTTCCTTTTTCTTTTCCTCTTTAGGTTGGGAACCACTAGACTCGTCTCCAGCTTGCTTAGCAGCTCCCTTCGTCTCGTTGCCTTTCTTCTGCTTGCCCTCAGTGGCAATAGCCTTCACGCTCGCCTCTGCAATCGACTCAACCGTAAATAACTTCATCTCCTTCCGAATATATTCCTTCAAACCCGCCATATACTTCATGAAAACAGAGTACTCCGTCGTAATGTTGAGGACCATTGTCTGTTGTTGGAACTCTGTAGTGTATTCTTGAACGGTTTGATTGAATCTTTGACGCAAATCGTACCACTTATACCAACGCTTTTTAAGGAACCTCATCGGGTAGAACTGCTTCCTCAATAGCTCTTTGAATCTGTTCCACGACATCGATTTCTTCTCTTATTTGCAGTAAGATTTTCACCACCTCAACGCGTGCCCAGAAAGCTTTAATTTCGTAAAAATAATCTTCTCCTTTGACGAATAGCCATAAAAAGTAAAATAGGTCTTCATACGCTCGATCCAATCATCAAGCCTCTCAACGTCGATACTCCCATCATAAACAAGAATCTCAACTCTGAAATCAATCTTTAAATTTTGGTAAGGACCCTTACCCCCTTGTTACGGAACAGTCTTGACGGTATCGACCTCCTCGTCGGAATCTGAATTCTCACTACCACCATCGGATTCTATAAATTTCTTCTTGGGCCCCGCTAAAGATTCACCCTTTTTTCGCCTCCGTGGATGAGATCGACGAACTTCATGAGAGTTGAACTAATTGTCTCGATCTATTTTTCCATCGCATCAAGCTTCGATGAATTGTCGCTTTCTGTCATCTTCTTTCTTGATTTCTGGACTTCTTCCAAAGACACAAGAATCTCGCCTAACTTCTTGTATTGCGATCGAATAAGGATCATACACAGGATACCCCTTCACAGGATATGATTGCTCTGATACCAACTTGATACGAGTCGTCGAGCGAGCACCTTTGATCGCGGAATTATCAAAGGTTAGTTTTAAGAAGAAGATAATAAAACACACAAGATAATAAAACACACAAGATAATAAAAATGGCTAAGGAAAATATTTTCTCTTGATTATGAAGAATAGAATATTACAAAATCTTTCTCACAATCTCTCTATTCTCTCTAAACCCTAATCTCTTGATTAGAATCTCTCTTCTATCAATCTGATGTTTAGAAACCCTAAACAATCCATATTTATCTGTCTAACAACGTGGATGGCAATCTCATAAATAACCAAGTCAAAACCCAATCAGGATTCGTCTCAAAACAAAGTCCAACTCCACCCAATGAAACTGATCCGGTCGACCGACGTACCAATACCAGTCGACCGACAAGTGTGTCTCGGTCGACCGACCAGAGAATACATTTCCACCTTTAATCGCGGAATTATCAAAGGTGGGTTTTAAGAAGAAGACAATAAAACACACAAGACAATTTAATTGGCGAAGGAAAATATCTTCTCTAGATTATGAAAAATAGAATATTACAAAATCTCTTTCTCACAATCTCTCTAGAATAAAGAACAATCTCTCTATTCTCTCTAAACCCTAATCTCTTGATTAGAATCTCTCTTCTATCAATCTGATGTTTAAAAACCCTAAACAATCCCTATTTATCTGTCTAATAACGTGGATGATAATCTCATAAATAACCAAGTCAAAACCCAATCAGGATTCGTCTCAAAACAGAGTCCAACTCGGCCCAGGAAACTGATATGATCGACCGATGTACCAATACCGGTCGACCGGTCGACCACTATCGGTCGACCGGTCGACCACTATCGGTCGACCGGTCGACCACTATCGGTCGACCGACAAGTGTGTCTCAGTCAACCGACCAGAGAACACGTTTCTCGTCCTGTAGTGTGCACTAATCCGGTCGATCGGTGCTGAATGTCCGGTCGACCGGTCAGAGACTTGTTGCCAGATTCCTGATTTCACCGTTTTCATGCTTTTGACCGTTTTCGCCGCTACCAACGACTCTGTCCACGCTTCTATTCTTAAGCTTCCATGGGAATCATCTATTCTCAAGCTCCCATGAGGATCGCTAAGTTCCCGAAGCAGAGAAGAAGATACACCCGTATCATCCTACATCAAGTTGTCTCGGATATTTTTGCATGAAATAACTGGTCAACGAGTTCCAATTTAGCAGGGATTTGTGGGAAGAATTTCCTCTTATAAGCAAATCTATTGTTGTTGATCATTGATCAAGACATAAACTAGGTAGGTTCATATATTTAAAAGTCCTAGTGTTATTACTAGCCTGTGATATCTCTTTCTGTACAGCTCTTTGATTACAAGTTGTGTACTTCTTCTTCTTCTTCTTCTTTTTGTTTTTTTTTGGGAAGAAACGCTTTTGTTAAATAGCATATCTGATGCTTTGTTATCATGAAGCCTTGAGACCTTGAATTTGTATCTGCTTCCATCCATATCTTTGTTCAAGCCTACAATTACTTGTCCTGATGACTTCTTAGCTTTGTTACATATTTTCTTTAAACCCTTCATGTCTTCTATAATATTGTGTTGTCCCTCAATAGATTTGCTGACTCCATCCCTACTTTTTCTGTAATAGTTATCCATAGATACAATTTTAAGTAATAGAAATACTTTGTTTGAAATGAATGTGCGATACTATAGTTTATATCATAACAAGAGTACTTTTCTATTTATGAAAGCTTTAAAACTTGGAATTATGTATTATTTCAGATGAAGGTTCGCAATGGAGAGGTCTGTTGTCTTTTTGGCAAGAAAGTCTCTTCATTTGCACTATTCCACGGAGAAATTAATGTGGAAGTTACTCCCTATCAAACTTTTCCAATGTACTATGCTGCGGAGCATGCTACCAATTTATTACTACAATTAAGGAAATTGCCCCTCAAGCATCAACCAGATGCAGGTAGATTTGTAATGCAAAATCTCTTTGTCCTGTTAGTTATTTTATTTCATATAATTACATAAGATGCACGCACGCACATACACACACTCTCTTTCACACACACACTATCTTGCTTGTGTATCAACTGTATAGTATGAGCTATGGGCTTGAGCTAACAGTGTATATCAACTAAGGTTAACACTTAATGCTTCATTTCTCATGGACCTTTAGGGCACAATGAAGAACAACAATGTTCATTTTGAAAGACAGAAGTAAGGGGTAAGATAGACATTTTAAAATGTGGACTATGGTCTATGGGGTTTAATCCCAGGACCATTTAAACTGTGAAGGTGTTAAACCATGTTGGATAACCACTTTATGCATGCACATGAATTCCTTTTACATATCAACCAACCTTACATTTGAGGCTCCCTCAAGCGGGTCTTTCGGCTGCATACAGGATGATAAAAGTGCCCATGAGGAAACACCTTTAACATAACTCATTTGGAAATGTGGATCAAATAGGTTAAAAAATTATATTGAAATTGTAATTATTCCATTTTGAGATCAAAGTCATTTTGAAACTTGATGCTTTGGAAACATGTACATAAGCAATATTTGTATGCCGAATCAATTTAATTTTTTTTCTATTATTTCTAGAAGTGTGGGAACATCATTTCGAGCTCGAATCACCATTTACATTTTTTTGTTGGCATTGAATGTATCTTCACGTACTAAATTTGTTGCTAGATTTGTCTTTAAGCATCATAACCATAAATTTCATTTTCTCGTAGTTTTTCCCCTAATTTAGGAGAATTTGGGGTGTTGGTCTTTCCTGATTGAGCTTAAACTGCAAAATCGATAAGGTTGTGTTCCTGCCACCCACTGGTGGGTTTTATGTGTTGTACATTTTTTGTCCAGAATTTTCATTAGAAGCAGTTTGGTGCCAACTTAGTAATTGGTTGATATCAGATTGACAACCGATCCCAAAACTCAAATCTCTATGTCTACTTGACGTAAATTTACTTTCCATAATTGTATTCATTTTGAATGGGGAAAGGCTTAGGTGATGAATATTATCCCTCTTTTCCCTTTTATCATTTTTTACATTGCTAATCTAACCAATATGCTTGTTAGGTTTCATTAAATGTCTATCATTGCTAAGGAACATCGAGGTTGGTAAGACTTTCGATATAATATGCAAGGTAATCACTTGTTATCTTAAATATGTGCTTGCATGTATTTGAGCCATGTCACAAAAATTAAACAGAACCTTTTCTTTGTTGGGTGAAGATTCTTTGTGCGCATAGAATTTCTAGAGATGAGTGGATGCTTTTTGTATGGGATGGTACTGATTTACCTCCTGCAACTTTTCAATCAAAGTAAGTATTTTCTTATTTTACCACAATTACTGTCCAGTTTATGACTTTTAACTGCAAGTTTAATTTAGCGCGCGTAGATTGTGACAACCTTTTAACTGCGAGTACTCATTTTTCTTTGAATGGATTCATTGAATATTTAAATTATAAAATTACGCTTTCATCCTTTTACCTTCTTCTGCTTTCTACTCATTTTCTCTGCTTCTTTCTCGTTTTCTTCTCTTTCCTCCCTTCCATCTTTTCATCTATCGTTCTCTCTTCTTTAAGGCTATCTTCTTCTATGTCATCTTATGCTGGTTGCTATAGTAGATCTAGTGTTGTTAGACTTACCAGTTACCTTATCTTCGTACTACTTTCTATTTCAATTTGCGTGGGGAGAATGAATATGCTAATTCTTATTTGTGTTCTCCTTAATACAGTTTAGACATGGAGGAGGAACAACCAATTCCTTTGTTTCTTGAGCCACTGCCACTATCAAAAGAGATTCTACGATCATTTCCTCTCGAAGGAGCAGTCTTGAGGATATTTGAAGATAATTGTTTTGAACCTATCAATCATTTTCGTGGAGGAGATTATTGGGTTAGATTGTGCAATGTTACATGTGAAATACAATCAGGACTGTGGAGAGGTGTGGTGAATTCTTCGAGCAAAGTCTTTAAGTTGTCTAATGAGGATGCTAAAG